GGGTTTATCTTGTTTGGTGTTCTCTGTGCTTTCTGTACCTGGAGGTGTGTTTGCTTCCTTAGGTTAGGGAAGTTTTCTGCTATTATTTCTTCAAATAGATTCTCTGCCCCTTTGTCTCACTCTTCTCCTTCTGGGACACCTATAACACGGATGTTGGTGCACTTGATGTTGTCCCAGAGGTCCCTTAGACTGTCCTCACTCTTTTTAATTCTTTTTTCTTTTATCTGTTCAGCTTGGGTGATTTCTTCTAGTCTTTCGTCCAGCTCGCAGATCCATTCTTTTATATCCTCTACTCTGCTTTTGAGTCCCTCTAGTGAATTTTTCATTTCCAGTATTGTATTCTTCATTTCTCATTGGTTCTTTTTTATATCTTCCATTTCTTTGTTGACATTCTCACTGAGTTCATCCATTATTCTCCCAAATCAGTGAGCATCCTTAACATTCTTTGTTTGAACTCTCTATCAGGTAGGTTGCTCATTTCTGTTTCACTTAGTTCCTTTTTTGGGGTTTTGTCCTGTTCCCTTACTTGGAAAGTATTCCTTTTCCTCCTCAGTTTGCCTCTTTCTCTGTGCTTGTGTCTATGTATTAGGTAGGTCAGCTATGTCTCTTGCTCTCGGAGAGGTGACCTTATGTAAGTGATGCCTCAGGAGGCCTTGCAGTGTGCTTCCCTCTCCTCTCCAGTTGCAAATATTCCAGGAGTGACCCCTGTGTGGGCTACATGTGTCCTTCTGTTGTGGTAGGGTTGTTCTTCCTGTAGGTGCCCAGGGAGGCTGAGCTATGCCCCTGGCCAGCTGTTGTAATGCTCAGCTGTGTGTAGTTGTTGTTGGCCCTTCAGTCTCTTTATCGGTTGTGGGCTGTCCCAGCACAGTTGGCTGCAAGGTCCAATAGCACATTCCTGTTGCTGTATTTCTATTAAGTGAATAGGCCCCAGCCTGGCAGGTTGTTAGGCTCAGGGGCTTACAATTGCTATAAGCCTCTAGCCTTTAGGTCCCTTTTCAATTCTCTGAGGATTGCAGCCTGGTGGGGCTGGCCTCAGGCACAGGAGCACCCAATTGTTTCAGGCTTTGGAAGGTGGGGCCAACCCCCTCTGTGGCTCTTTGAGAAGCACAAGTCTTCTGTAGCTGACAAGCCCCACCGCCCACAGGTCCACATACACAGTCAACACAGTCCTGCCCCATGCGCGCGCCCCAACCTCCTGAAGTAGATCCAGTCTCTCCAAGGCGGGAGCCCCACACTCTCCACCTGCTCCTTGCACACACTCTGCCCTACAGATGCAGACCCAGTCTCCAGGCTGTGGAAAATCCAGGCAGCTCACTTAGCAGGCCCACAAGTTGCCCAAGGGCTTGTTGTTGGGTGGGGCCAGTCCCTAAAGTAGGCTGCCTGCCCTGGCTGAGCTGGATTAAATCGGTGCTCTAGTGGGTGGGGCAGACCCTGGGCTAGCAGGCCCCAGGGAGAACTCCAATGGTGTCTGTCTGCCAGTGTGTCTGTCAGCACGCCCACACCAGGTCACAACAATGGACGCCACCAATGTCCCAGACCCTCGAGAGGTCTCACCTCTCACCAAGGTGCACTCAGAGCCTATCAGGTGAGTCTGTTTTCCCCAAAGGGCTGTGCACCTTTCTTTCTGCTGATTTTAGGTTGCTTTCTGAAATAGGTGAGTTTGTGCATGGGCCCTTTAAGAGGCGGTTTTAATTTCTTTGTGAACCAGCTTTTCTGGGGGTACTCCCCAATGTTTTAGTAGCAAGCAAAGTCAGATATTATGCCACTCGTCTCTATTGTGCTGGGTCCAAAAAATGCCTACAGTGGGGGCGCTCCCCAGCTCAGGCCCCGCTCCTCCAGGGAGGGCTGCGAACCTGTGGGCTGCTCCCGGGCGGCCGTGAAGCTGGCGGCTTGTGAAGGCGGCATTTTTTCTCTCCAGAAGGGAATTTTTGTCTCTTCCACCTCAACTAGGATTGTCGTTTGTTGCAGGAGGTCCTCTTATCCAGTTTTCAGTTCTCTCACAAGGGTAATTTTTCCAAGAGTAGTTGTAAATTGGCTGTGTCTGCAGGAGGAGGTGAGTTCAGAGTCTACCTACGCCGCCATCTTGACTTCTCTCCCCATATAACAGTTTAAATGAGGCTCACAAACATAATATTGAGTAAAACAAGTTTGACCCAAATAAATATATACTATAGAGTTCCATTTATAATGAGGTTCCAAACAGGCAAAACTAAACTAATGTTAGAAGTCAGAATAGTGGTAAACCTTGGGGAAGAGAGGGTGTTGTGCTTGAGAGGGGTATGAGGTTGACTCACAGAATGCTGCCAAAGTTCCATTTTTTGACCTACAAAGCCAAAAATTGCAAAGATATTTGTTGTGTGATAATCATCAAACTGTGTTTTTGTTTTGAGCACTTTTCTCTGTGTGTGCTATATTTCAATTTTTAAAGTTTTTTAAAGTTAAGAACAGAACAAGTAAATAAGAAAAAGACAACTGAATGAAAAAATAGGTTTGAACAATAGAGGACATCAAATGGCCAGTAAACATAACATACAATGTTCAACCCATAATCAGGGAAATACATATTAAAAACCACGTAGATTGACAAAAATTTAGAAGTCTGACTCTATCATGTGCTGGTGAGTATGTGGCACAAAAGAAACACTGATACACATTGGTTGGAGTAAAAATTGGTATAAACACTTTGGAAAAACAGTTTGGCTTTTTCAGTAATTTTGATAATCCATATACCCTCTGATCCAGCAGTTACATTCCTAAGTACATACCCTAGAGAAACTCGTGTACATGTGCACTAGGATATGTGAGTAAGAATGTTCACAGCAGTGAAAACTGGAAATGCCCAAAAATGTCCATCAACACAAAGAAGGGTAATAAATTGTGGTATTTTTATCTAATTAAATAGTAACATCAAAAATGAGAGAACTATGGCTACATACACAACATAACTGAATCTTAAGACAAGACAAAAGCACATGTATGCAATATTATTCTATTGTAAATTAAAATTATATTAAAATTCAAAGAACAATATTATTTAGGAATGCATATTTCAAAGACCAGTTTGTTAGTACATATGTAAAGAAAAGCAAGAAAATGTTTATTCTAAAAGTCAGGAGAATGGTTTCCTCTAAGGAGGAGAGGAGAGGGTGAACTGGGAAAAGACATATGCAACACTTCTGGGGTGTTAACAGGGATCCGTTTCTTGACCTGAATGGTACTTTCCAAGCTATTGGCTTTATAAATTATTTGTTAAGCTGTACGTTTCTATTCTATGCAATTTTTTGGTATTTAATATTTCACACTTTTAAGAGTTAAATTTTCCCACTAGGTTCAATTTTCCAGGTAGTAGTACCTAACCAGTGCTCAATATGGAAGAGAAAGCGGTTAGTTGATGTGGGAGCATATAGAATAAAGAACATAGGGGACTCGGTTAACCTCAGTCAGGAAGAAATGGGCACCTCTTTCTCTGGAGACTAGGAATGAGAGGAAGAATGCAGGGAGGGGATACATATGAATGCAGAAACATTTAGGAGGAGAGTTTAAAAGAGTTCAGATTTATACTGTTATAAAATGGGAAGTAGAATCATTTGCTGAAAGTGAAGCTAAAGAGGAAGGATCTGGGGAGTCTGAAGCAAAATTAGAGCATTTGTTCAGGTTTCAGCAGGTATTTAAAATGTCATGTAACCATTCAGAATTAAAATTGATATAGGACTTCTGATATTGGTTGTTTACAAGCAGGCTCTTAATTTTTCCTCAAAGCATGACTCTTAATTACGTAATTACACATTTTTTAGAATCTGTTCTTTAAAATGTAATGAAAGATAATAAATGTTTACATTTAATTGGGAGGGCAATTTTTGTAGGCAAAATATACTTCCTTTGCCAAAGAATAATGATTTTACTAACTTCATGTTTCCTTCCTTATTCAGGTCATGTATGGAATGCTGGTCTTCACATTAGTACTTCGATCTGTTTATATTGTTACATGGTGAGTAGTTTGGATCATCAGCGCTATGATTAGAGTACATTCGGGTGGTAAATCTATAGCCTAAATTGAAAAAGCACCTAAAATCCAACTCCAGCAAAGATATTGCTAGAAAACCATAACCCAACATTTATTATGGTAGATTACAAGAAATACAATTTCTTTAAGCAGGTTGTTAGTAGGCAACGTGTGAAAAAAGTTTCAAAATTAAAGAAGTTTGAGGAGAGTTGTGTACGATTGCCTCCTTCTGAATATTTATAATGTACATTACTATATTAAAGCCCTTGAGAAATCCTACAGTAAAAAAAAAAAAAAAAAAACCCTGTTTTTATGTTTCTCAAACTACTTGACTAGGGAACCCTTTTTACAGAACACCTCTCAAGGAAGGCTATTAATGTCACAAAGAATCAGTATTCCAGAAAGATCATTTAGGAAATAAGCATAATCTTTATAGGGGTTATGAAAATTAAAGAAGAAATATTCATGTGAGTACCTTACATAGGGCCTGGCCCTACAGCAGGTGCTCAATAAATAAATAGTATGATTTATAGGTTTATTCTTTTTTTCTTTTTTAATTAAACTTCTTATTTTGAGGTAATTGTAGAAGCATATGCATTTGTAAGAAATAATAGAGAGAGATCCCCTGTACCTTTTACCAATTTCCTCCAATGGTAACATTTTGCAAAACTATAGTACAATATCACAACCAGGATTTGACATTGATAGAATCAAGATACAGAACAATTCCATTACCACAAGGATCCCTGTGTTGTCCTTTTATAGCCACATCTACTTCCCTCCCACCCTACCTCCTCACCCGCTGTCCTTAACCCCTGGCAACCACTAATCTGTCCTTCATTTCTAGAATTTTTTCATTTCAAGAATGTTATATAAATGGAATCATACAGTATATATGACCTTTGGGATTGGCCTTTTGCACTCAGCATAATTCACTGGAGGTGAATACAAGTTGTTGAGTGTATCAATGATTCATTCCTTTCTATTGCTGAGTAGTATTTTTATTCCACGGTATGGATGTTCCACAGTTTAACTATTTGCTTGTTGAATGACATCTAGATTGTTTCCGGTTTTTGACTATAATGAATAAAGCTGCTATGAACATTTGTTTACAGGTTTTTTTGTGAATATAAGTTTTCATTTCTCTGGAATAAATGCCCAGAGTGGAATTGCTATGTTGTTTGATAGCTGTATGTTTAGTTTTTCTCAAAACTGCCAAACTGTTTTCCAGAGTGGCTCTACCATTTTACATTCCCACCAGCAGTGTATGAGTGATCCAGTTTCTCTGCATCCTTGCCAACATTTGGTGGTGTCACTATTTTTTATTTTAGCCATTGTTATAGATATGTACTGATATCTCATTGTGGTTTCAATTCTCATTTCCCTAATGTCTAATGATGTTGAACATATTTTCATTGCTTATTTGCCATCTGTATATCCTTTTTGGTGAAATGTCTATTCGTGTCTTTGCCTGTTTTCTAATGGGATCGTTTCTCTTTTTTTTTCCAGTTGAGTTTTGAGAGTTCTTTATATATTCTAGATACTAATCTTTTATCAAATATGTTGCTTACAAATATTTCCTCCCAGTCTGTATCTTGTCTTTTCATCCTTTTCACAGGGTCTTTCACACAGCAAAAGTTTTTAATTTTGATGAAGTCCAATTTGTCAATTTTCCTTTTATGGATCATGTTTTTGGTGTCCAGTCTGAAGACTCTATGCCTAATCCTAGATTTTCTCCTATGTTTTTTCCTAAAAGTTTTATATAATTTTACATTTTACATTTAAGTTCATGATTTATTTTGAGTTAATTTTTGTATAAGATGTGAGGCTTAGGTCGAGCTCCATTTTTTTACCTAATGGTCCAACTGCTCCAGGACCATTGGTTAAGGGTGTCCTTTCTCCATTGAATTGCTTTTGCACCTTTCTCAAAAATTATTTGGGTATATTTGTGTGGGTCTAATTCTGGGTTTTTTGTTCTGTTGCATTGATCTATGTGTCTATCCTTCCACTAGTGCCACAATCTCTTGGTTACTGTAGCTATAGAATAACTCTTCAAATCATATAGACTGATTTCTCTCACTTCTTTCTCCAGATTGTTTTATTTATTTGGGTTCTTTTGCCTTTCCATATAAATTTTAGAATAGCATTGTCTATATTTAAAATATTTTTGGGATTTTGATAGGAATTGCATTAAACCTGTATATCAATTTGCAAAGAATTGACATCTTTACTATTTTGAGTCTTCCAATCTATGAACACGATGTGTCTTTTCATTTATTTAGATCATCTTTTATTTCTTTTATCAGCATTTTGGAGTGTTCATTTTTTGAGCAATTGTAAATGGTATTGTATTTTTAAATTTTGGTGTCCACATGTTTGTTGCTATCATATAGAAATACAATTGATTTTCTTTGTGTTTATCTTGTATTCTGCCACCGTGCTGAACTTAATAGTTTTAGGAGACTTTTGTATATTCCTTAAGATTGGCTGCATAGGGACAGTTTGTGTCATCCTTTCTAATGTGTGTCCTTTTGATTTCTTTTTTTGCCTTATTGCTCTGACTGGAACTTCCAGGACTATGTTGAATAAAAGTGGTGAGAGCAAATATCCTTGCCTTGTTCCCAGTCTTAGGAGAAACGTATTTGATCTTTCACCATTAAGTACAATGTTAGCTGTAGGTTTTTTAGATGCTCTTTATCAAGTTGAGGAAGTTGCTCTCTATACCTAATTTTCTGAGAATCTTTATCATGAATGGGTGTTGAATTTTGTCAGATGCTTTTTCCATATCAATTGATTTGATCATATGATTTTTTCCTGTAGTCTGTTAGTATGGTGGATTACATTGATTGATTTTCAAATTCCAAACGAGCTTTGTATTCTGAATGAACCCCACTTAGTTATAGTGTAAAATTCTTTTTATATATTGCTGAATGATACTTGTTAATATTTTGTTAAGGACTTTTACACCTATATTCACGAAGGTTATTGGTTTATAGTTTTATTTTTTGTACTATCTTTGTCTGATTTTGGTATCAGGGTAATATAATTAGCTTTATAAAGTAGATTGGGAAATGTTCCTTCCTCTTCTATATCCTGGAAGAAATTGTGTAGAATTGGTGTTAACTCTTCTTTCAATGTTTGGTAGAATTCTCCAGTGAAATCATCTGGGCCTGTAGTTTTTTGGGGGGGAGAATTTTAAAATTATGAATTCAATTTTCTTAATAATTACAAGGCTGTTCAGATTATCAATTTCATGTTGGGTGAGTTGTGGTAGTTTGTGTTTTTTGAGGCATTAGTCCATTTCCTCTAAGTTGTCAAAATTTATGTGTGTAGAGTTGTTTGTAATATTCCCTTGTTTTCCTTTTGATGTCTGTGGGGTTTGTAGCAATATCCTGTTTTATTCTTGATCTTGGTGATATGTGAGTCTTCTCTCCTCTCTCTCTCTTTTTTTCTTTTGGTCAGTCTTGCTAGAAGTGTGTCAATTTTACTGAACTTTTAAAAAAACAGATTTTTGTTTCATGGATTTTTATCAGTTATTTTTGAATTTTCAGTTTCATTGATTTCTGCTCTTTATTATTTCCTTCCTTGCGCTTGTTCTGGGCTTATTTTGCTCTTTTTTTTTTCAAGGTTCTTGAGTAGAAGCTTAGATTATTGATTTGAGACTTTTATTCTTTCCTAGTATTCATTTAGTGCTGTAAATTTCCCTGTCAGCACTACTTTAGCTGTGTACCACAAATTGTGATATTTTGTATTTTCTTTTTCATTCAGTTCAATATATGTTTTTTAATTTCCCTTGAGACTTCCTTTTTGACCCTTGGATTGTTTAGAAGTATGTTGTTTAGCATTCAAGTGTTTGGATATTTTTCTGTTATCATTCTCATTGATTTCTTTTTTGTGTGTGAGGAAGATCAGCCCTGAGCTAGCATCCATGCCAATCCTCCTCTTTTTGCTGAGGAAGACTGGCCCTGAGCTAACATCCATGCCCATCTTCCTCCACTTTATGTGGGACACCACTATAGCATGGCCTGACAAGCAGTGCATCGGTGTGCGCCTGGGATCCGAACCGGGCCACCAGCAGTGGAGCATGCGCACGTAACCACTACGCCACCAGCAGTGGAGCATGCGCACGTAACCACTACACCACAGGGCCGGCCCTCATTCTCATTGATTTCTAGTTTTATTACCACACCAGGTCCATTTTTGCCCACCACCCAGAAAGCCAGTCACCGAGACGACGAGATTGCAAAGAGAGAGGGTTTATTAATCACAAGGCAGCCAAGCGTGGAAATGGGAGAATGAATCTCAAATCTGCTTCCCCTAAAATAGGGACTCCGGGATATTTATGGAGTAGGGGCAAGGTGGTCTGAAATGATTGGCGGTGAGGAGAGATGAGGTAATTGATGATCTTCGCAAGCGTAGTCAGCCTTCATGCCTCTTCATAGGATGCATGTTCACAGAATGGCAGCATTAGCATGCCGTGAGGGTGGAGTTCCAACCTCTTGCAGTCAAAAAGTCACTATTGGACACTTGTCTGCGTGGGCCCAGTTGATGGGTTGGTGGTCTCAATCTGGCGTGAAGTGGACAAGGGGTTCAGTTCCTGAGAAAAAATAGCTCAATCACCCATTACCATGGTGACCCCAGCTCCAGGGGAATATTAATTATAGGAACATAGTGGGAGTCAGATAGCATATTACCTAAACAGCACAGTTAACAATGGGTAAGTTTATCACACAGATTTACGTCCTCATCTTCCGTTCTGATAAGTTTCTAGGTAAGGCCATCCCCCACCCTTCTTCCTGGTACAGGGAAGAAGATACCTCTACAAATGGAGATTTTCTTTACTAATGTAAATGTCTTTTATAAAGGGTAACCAGAACTAAGAATGGGCTTAGTGGGTACCCACCCAGACACCGGAGATGTCTATGGTAACCGCCTGTTCTGGGGGCAGGCCTCCTATCCCAAACTCCTTGGGTTAGTTAATGGGG